CGGCAAGTCGTAAACGTAGACATATGGAGGTCCGTCGCAAGTGGGGACCACTACCAGCTGATTGTTTGTTTGGTTGTGGAAGTTTTGAGTTTCTCGAGGAACATTGTTGGATGAGGTTGGGAAACAAATGAGAAGCACGAGAAACCAAAGCATGAGAGAAAGAATAAGAAAGGAATTGTAATTGACGAAGGGCTTGATGAATGAGGAAACATGGGAGTTTCTGTTTTTAGGAATGGGAGTTGTTTGTTTCTTGGGAAACATGGCGGAGAATTCAGGAAACATGGAAGAAAAAGTAGAAGACAATTAGATCAGGAAAATGGATTTCTCAAACTAAGCTGTATTTGCAAGAAGGAAAATTAGCAGGAAGCTGCAATGAATATATTTAAGAGAGAGAGAAAAAAGATTTGATTTCATGCAAACAAAAAGAGAAAAGGAAAGAAAAGGAGGATATGAAGGTGACCGCGGGACACATCTTAATAAAGTATGTGAGCCGGTAGAAATTGCATAATTGACTAATCATACATAATAATAATATATGTTAAAAAATCAATAATGAAAATATGAAACCTACCTTATTATTATTTTAATTTAAATGTAGGTAGTTGCCCCGCATATATATAAGACACGATGGAATTTCCTGATATTAAAGACAGCTTAGCTTGTTGAACGGGAGCCACGGAACCTCACATGCGTTCTCCTCTTCATTCGTATTTAATAAAATGTTAAGAGTTTGGTGTCACGTCTACATTGCTTTAGTTTTCTAATAATAAAGTAAAGTAATTGTTAGAAACTTTGTAATTATTGTATGTATATATATGCTATGTATATATGTTATAATATATATTCAACCATGCCATGTGGAGATGGTGATCTGCCATTTGGAGGAGGCCATGTCCACGAGGGAGAAGAACTAGCTAGCTGAGAAAAAAGTTAGAATAGAAAGCAATTCTAATTAATTAAAGAAAAATATTTGACTTTTATCGGTATGGAGCAATTTTATCCTACCACGGTTAAATATTTTGATGAAGAAAAATGTAAAATATATAGTTTTTATAAATTTTTAATGGTGGTTAGAATAAAATTTAGTCCTCTATGTCAAAGAAATAAGGATTTTCCCCCGTTAAGGTTAACAATTAAAATCATGTTATGTTGTTAAGCCATGGAGTCGAGAGTTTGAGAGGTTAGTTGAAGTCTGGAAGATCCCTGCCGACACATTTTTGGTGGGTGTTCTCTTCTTTTGATACCGATAATAATTAACAACTACACCTACTTTTTATTGGGACAAATTAATTAAATTAGTGCAGTACAATGTGACTGGTAACTTATTAAATTACATCTCAAACTTTACTAACCATTAATTATAATTTAACAAATTCATATTAGTTTAGTTTTTTTTTTAATGTTTACCATATAAAAAAAACATATAGTATATAAAATAGATTTTCATAAAAATCCTCTTTTCTACAAAAGTAAGGTTATTGCTAGATAATATGGCGTCAAGTATGAAATGTTTGACTTAAGCATATAGTTGACTTTAGTGGGTCCCAAGTATAAGATTCCTCTCACCGTATAAATTTTAAAATAAATACTAAAAAAACTTAACTAGTTAAAAGATATATTTATATTTTTATAAAGTTCGAAATACCCGGTCCTCGCTTTATTATAACACATATAGTAAAGATTAGTTTTTAGTGGTAATATATCTTTTACTATCTTCTAACGGGAGATTTTGATCTTAGAAGCCACATTTGCTTTTCAGGTTCTAATGAGAGGAAGAAATTTCATACGTATCTTGGATTTCCATTCCAGGTGGTAGTACTCTTAAAGGAAAACATTCTTTTTTTGTCAACTCCCCAAATACCTACATCATCTTCATTCGATTTCCTTTAGGCGAAGGAATCTGCAAAATTAATTCAGCCTCTTATAAAAGTTATTTCTAATCTTCTCCGCATCTTAACCTTCTTTGTGTTCATAAAGGTTGCAACATTCATCTCACGAATGGATGCGGGTGAAAATTAGCTTAAAAGAACCATGGATCTAGAGTTGATAAATGACGAAACTACTTAGGAATAGAGTACTATATTTACTATTTTTTTTACACTAATTTAAGATGAATGACTCGGTTATTAAATCCTAGAATTAGGTTGAGTTCAACTCTAAAATAGATGGATTTTTATTGGACATATTAGAAAATTTAGTATTTGGGCTGGATCAAAATGTCTGCCAGCCCAACCTACAAATACGACAAATAATTTTATTCGTATTAAAGTAATATATGGGATGAATTCTAAAACGAGAAAATTCAAAAATTTACAATTTGTAACTATTTGATCAAGTTATTACAAATTTGTAAAATTAAGCCCTGCAAACATAATTCAGAAGTAATTGGTATATATCTCTATTCAAAAGTCTGCGAGTTTGATCTCCCATTCTCACATGTTTTACTAAAAAAAGAAGAAAAAAGCTATAAAATTGTTAAAACTAAAGCAAACTCATTAAATCAAACAACCGAGAGAAGAGAAAAGAAGATGAAGAAGAAAAAAAGAAAAAAAAAATCAACACTATTGGCAAATGTCCAGGACCACCATAATAAGCAACGAAAATTTTCATTAGGTAGACTAGTTTTTTTAATAATTACAAATATAACATGTTTTTTAAAAAATAATTGTAAATATCTATTTTTTAAAAAAATTAAGGTTAAATTACAACTTGATCCTAGATTTTAAAATTGTCAGTTCAATTTGCATGGTTTGGACTTAATTTCAATATAGTTCCTATGGGTTGAGTTTAGTTTCAATTTGATATTTTAAAGTTTTAATTGATTCCTCTAATTTAGTCAAATTTTACAAATTATCTCTATCTTACCATATTGACATATTTTATTTTACGTGGCAATAAGACGATGTTTTCTATTTTACTAACCGGATTAGTTGATTCTATTAGAATTAAGGGTTCTGTAAAAACCTATAAGGACATATGTGAACGGTTTTTTTATTTTTTTTTTTAAAACCATTTGTAGACAGATTGTGAAGTTAAATTGAATCCTGAAGAGGAGAATAAATTTGGAATTAGTCCCAGACCATTGGACCAAATTGAAACTTTTTTGCTACACATACATAGCCATGCCATGCCGCGCCACAACTATAATATTATATTTATTGAAGTGAGCTTTTCAATTCTCCTCTCTTTTCTTTTCTTAAAGTGAATATATATTTCACACGTACTAATAATTTCCTTCCTTTCTCTATAGAAAGTAATCATACAGTGATCGATCGTGGTTAGTTGTAGTAAGCTAACTGACTCGGTAGAGTGGAGCCATAAAAATTGGAAAATGATGCTTCGTATTAAGTATAGTTAGTGTTGTATTTCATTTTAAAATAGCATTATCGGTCTCTCAAGCTCACCCTCTCTATTTGCTTAGACGATAGATTCCAAACTTCCTATATATATAACTTACCTTTCCAACCTATTGTGGCAGGGTAGATCTCTTGAAATTCAAAGCCAAGCTTGAGCTTGTAGTTAGGGTTAAGTAGAGCTTAATTAGTATTGATATGGCTAGCCTTCTATTAGTTGAGCTTTGGTTGTTTTGGCCTTCAATTGAGTTTTATTATGCTTTACTTTGTTATTAAGGTGGCTAAGTTAGGTCGATTTTAAGCTATATATTTCTCCTTTCACAATTTTTACCTATTAAATCATCGATCATATATACATAGTACGTACATCAAAACTCTCACAAAGCTTATAATAGGTTTTCTACTCACTTCTAAAATAACTAATCAAAAGAAGTATCGAACCTTGGAAAAATACCTCCTTTGCCGTCGAAAGGTCACCACCCTTCCATATTCTAATTAATGCAAATGCACACTTTTACAAGTAGCTTAAAGGTAGAATTAATTTAATCAACATATATATAGAATACCATTAACTCTTATAGAATAATGAGAACTTGAAACAAAAAGTGGTACTTTAGGCGAAGTTGCAGCTGTAAAATTTAATATATTATCAATATCATAGGGGAGAGTTAGATAAGAAGAGATCTCCTACCATTGTTGATAACGTTCAAAACCCTCAATGTTTTTTTCTTACTGACGTGTTGCCCACCAATCGTCTTCTTTAGCTCTATCTTTGGTTAATAATTCATGACTTCCATAATATATCAAATCTTTGGAAATCTCATAAACTTATATAAATAAATAAAGCATAGAGAGGAAAGAGACCCAAGCCATCTCAACCAGGTATCATATGCACTTGAAATGTTTTGTTTAAAGGTTGTTAAGTGGGATTTTCATGGAAGATTTGTAATTTTCTATCAGTTGAAGATCTCGATAAAGATCCTGTGTTGCAATTTGAAATTTTAAGATCATTTATTCACTTTGCTTTGTTCTCTAATTAATGACCTAAAACTGTTGGTGGAATGTGTTAATTAGTAGCTAGTTTGATTTCTTACCTTACACATTAAATAATGCAAATTATATTTCTGTCTTTTAACAAATAACTCCATTTTTCTACTGCTTTCAAATCAATTTTAATAAATTACACTTTTTACAATACAAAAATGTATTCCTATTTTGAGTCGTACGCCACCAAAACCTGTCAAAGGACGATATTTGATTTAGCAAGTTTGAAATTTTTGAACTTTCGTTGTCCAATTTTTGAATTTTCGTTGTCCTTGTGGGTTGTTAGGAAGTTCAGTTTTATACACAAGTACTACAAATGATTAGTTTGAAAAGTCTTTATGAATGTGTATTTGATTTGTAAAAACTAATTTGTAAAAATGAATTAGGTTCATTTAGGTACMACGTGAGCCTTAGTTCACATACTTCGAAGATGAGGTGGAAGCGCCCGTGACAAAGATAGTAGAACTCGTTTTAACTTGGGAGAAGATTATGACCAGCAAAGAAATCCGCTGACATTCCGCAAAATGACAATTTTGTTACATAAGAGGATCTTTTAATCCAATTGCCGACGGAAAACTCATTGAATTACAGCTAGTCAGGTATGTACGTCAGCGAATGGCAAGCGTTTCGATTCCCAATGTTCCCCTTATAAGAAGGTACGCAAGATAAATGCTTCGATTCCCCATGCTCCCCTTAATAGAAGGTACGCAATCTCTTATATTTTACTAAAGATYCGGCTCAACACCAACTTGGATTTAAATATTTTGGAGTGTACGTAGTTAAGAGCATGCACCACATCGATACACGGTTCTGTTTGTAAGTGCATGCAAGCGGATACCAAGTCAGAGTCCACCACAGATAGCTTGCTCCGAACACGTCACCTCGGACCAGCATCGTGCTTCTAACACGTATCTTATATATGCAAATGTTTCAATTTCATAAACCCAAATATCATTCCGTCTGTTATTTGATATACTTAAGTAAGATGGTAAGCAAAACCTATGTGCTACACATGTTATACAAATTGAATCGATGCCAAAGAACTGGCATAATCCACTAGAGAATTAAAAGAAATTTTAAAAAAAATTGCTCAATTACACCGTCAAGAGAAAGGACAATAACCCTCTTCTGTAATTGGACGAGGAAAAAGGTCGGCTAAGGATCGTTTTCTACGACAATCGAGCTGTGTTCAAGCTAATTATTATAATCAAAAGAAATCTCTCCTGCTATATCATATGGATCACGAAAGATTCAGTGGATAATAGTATATGGAAAAGTAAACCACTAACTTCTCTTGTCTATAAATATTTGAGTCCACCCTTTCTTCACCACCAAAAACCACCCTTTTTTCAATCCTTACCTTCCAATGGACGCCACTCAAAAACTCTCCTCCTTCAGCTGCGAAATCAGAATCCTCCAAGCCAAAACCATACACTTCACATCTCCAAAGAATCTCTTCGTGAGGTACTATCTCTCAGCAGGAAACAACAACAGAATTCGCCTCAACACCAAAAAAATCTCCTCATCCTCCGACTTCACCTGGAACGAGGCTTTCTCTTTGGAGTGTTTGGGGACAGAAGAATCCATCCATGGCCTCAAACAAGCAACTGTCGTGTTCGAGCTCCGGCAGGCCAAGACACTGCCGGTTCTCGGAACCGTTTCGGGGTCTCAACTTCTGGGGAGAGCGGGGATCCCGTGGGAGGATGTTTTTGAATCGCCAAACATGGAAATTGAGAGATGGGTTTCGTTGGTTTCGGGTGGTGAGAATGGATTTGGTCGTGAAGGGTTCTTCAAGCAACCGAAGTTGAAGGTCGGGATGAGAGTGAGAGGTGCTGAAGAAGTGGCGAAGGAGAAGAAGAGGAGATTTAGGAAGTGGAGTGATGAGTGCTTTGACCATTGTGCGGATCATGAGGTCTTTGCTCTTGCTGCTGCCATGGAGTTCTTGTAGTTGTCGCTACAAACTAATTAATTGTTGAGACTGAGAGTGAAAATTATAAACGTGATTCTTTTCTTTTAATTGCATTTCCCATATTGGCGATTGTAAATTTTGTTTTATTTAACTTTTTGAGTGTTTGTGAAATTAAAAAAAAAATTAATAGGCAAAATTGGAATAGTGGAAACCAATTGGATTGGTTTTATATTTTTGTCTTTCTACTGATAATTTTAAAAAAATCGTTAGATATCTTCAAATGTCTATACCGAAGCTTACTATATTTAGTTATCAAAGAAACTCTTTTAAATGGTCACTATGGTTTGAATTTATTCTTTCTAAATTTTTTAGAATTTCTTAGCTTATTTGGACTATTGTGACAATCTACAATGGTTTAGATAGGCCTCTTGCCTTAGGAATTGATTATTGCTTTAGGTAGACCTCTTGACATCTTTCTCTAAGGTCGTATTATACTCTTTTTGGTCAAAATGAGAGATTAGCGTCTTTTAAAACAAAAAAGTATCTTTCATTCAAAAGTATACAAAAAATATACAAATATATAAAGAATAATAAATGTGTAAACACTCCTGTATAAAGATAGTGAATATATCGTAATTAAGAAAAAGAAAAAAATGTCAATTTTGATGGCCAAAAAGAAACCATTATTTTAATGTAATCCAAAAAATGAGTAGTTGAAATCTAGAGACTTAAACCACTAAATGAGAGATCACCTTCCCTAGATGGGCCTCTAAAGCTCATTTGCGCGGAGAGTTTCTTCTTCTTTTGTGGATGAAGTTTAATATGAGGGTAACTCTTTTTTTTAGCCTATCTACTTTTTCCTCATTAATCATGTAATTAAATTTAAATAAAAGTGACTCAGCCCGAACCACTAAAAGTTTCCAATTATATATAACTAAAAAAAAAAGGCCATTTCTACTTTTTTTCTAAACAGAATTACATTTCTGTGTTCTCATACAAGGTATTCTAGAAATCATCAAATAAAAAAATAATAATAATGTCTCAAATGCAGCCGACTTCATTTCCCATACAAAAGTCTACAAAGAAACAAATAAAAGATGATATGATATGATCATATTAATTTTAGAAGCGACACGAGTAACCCACCCACCTAGCCAAAGCCAATTGCTTTGCCACTGTTGCAGCCGAATGGGGTGTTTTCTAAAATCCAGCCCTTCATGAATCCCAAGGGCTTCTTCACTAAAATAAACACGTTGTATTTTGCTATCCTTAGATTCAGTGCCTTTTTTTATAGTTGCCTACCATATAATTAACCACGAAGCTTCCTCCATATAAAAAGTGGAACTTCTTCTTCTCTTTAAATAAGACGAGAGGGTGCTCTAATATTGTCAGCCACACCCAATGGCGGATACCACTCAAAAATTCTCTACCTTTAGCTGCGAAATCAGCATTTTGGAAGCCAAAAACATAGAGTTCACGTCCCCAAAGAGGGTGTTCGTGAGATACTATCTTTCAGCAGGAAACAACAAGAGGGTCCGCCTCAACACCAAACAAATCTCCTCCACCTCCATCTTCGTCTGGAATGAGTGTTTCTCTTTGGAGTGTTTGGGTTCAAAAGAATCCATCCACAGCCTCAAGCAAGCCACCGTCGTTTTCGAGCTCCGGCGGGCCAACAAACTTGGTTTTGTGGGGTCTCAGCTGCTGGGGAGGGGTGAGATCCCATGGGAGGAAGTTTTTGAGTCCCCAAACATGGGAATTGAGAAGTGGGTGTGTTTGGTTTGTGGTGGTGGTCAATGTGAATTAGGGTTGTTAAAGCAACCGATTATGGTGAAGGTGGGGATGAGAGTAAGAGCTGGGGAAGAAATAATGGA